CTCCGACGAAAAGCGAGGGAGGAAGAAAGAAGACACCAAGGGGTTGCTCGATGGCGAGAGAAGGAGAAAAATAGAGGAAAATCGTGCTGTACCGACATATTTTGTACTTTATTAAACATCCATTATCAACTTAGAAAACGTGTTTTCTTTCTTTCATCAAGCTCCGTTTTATATCACATAGCACTATTTAAAAAATTTCATTTTTATCGAGTCCTAGCACTTAGAGTAAAAAAAGAACTTAGGGTGATCGGTGCTGCACGACTCACCCTCTATATAACAGAGGTCGACGCGATGGTACAGAGAGCTCGATTTTTCCGATAGCGAATTTTGCTCTTCGTTTTTCCGCCAACCCTTCTCTTTCTCCCTAACTTTGTCTCTTCCTCTCATCACCAATTCACCCTATCCCCTCGGTACCGGGGACGTGAACCACGTTTTCCCTGGCGCGCCATTCGTTCCTCCATCCGTTCCCTCCTTTCTCTCTCAATCTCCACCATATCCTCTCGTCCTCTTTTTCCCTCTTTCTCTGGCATTCTCTCAATCTCCATCTGGTTCTCCAGCTCCGGCGAGTAGCACGGAGCATGGGCGACCAAACCAGTGGCGTTGCAGACACAATAAAAAGCGGAAAAAGCGATGGTCAACGTACACGCGGACGAATCTGGCCGCGGAAAGAAAGAGCGCGAGGGACCGTGCGACCGTGTATTAGGTTACCCTTACACAGAGAGACAGAAGGGGCAGCAAGGGAGAAAAATAGAGGAATCACACCGGTGGACGGTTCTGAGAGGTTATTCATGAAGCACCTGACGAGATTCCACGCGTATAATTTTTTTCCATTTTTTTTTTCTTTTTTGGACCAAGGGAACACGGGGGACAAAGGATACCGAGCAGCGATGAATCCTAGATTTATAAACGCTCCAGGTCCATTCAGACTCGTCGTAATCTCGCTCGGATTCGATCGAAAAAGCAGAAAGATTTCTCAGTTCTGATTTCCAAGCCATTGCTAAACTACGCGAAGCGTAACGACGTCTCTTGACGGCCATCGTCGTTGTTCGAGGGTCAAATAACGAAGTAAATTCTCACCGCGATGCGTTGGGAGACACGTAAAGGGGACGGAAAACTGGGAAAAATCGCGATACGCGAAATCACGGTGTAATGCACGAAATCCGTAGAGGAAGGAAATTAGTAGAGAAAATACAGGAGTGGGTGGTGCGGCGTGGCATGGCGTGGCGCGGTATCGACCGGTCGGGTATTTTGCAACGCTTTTTCGCGGATGTACTCGTTAAACCGATAAATGAATAATGAGCAGACTATACGGGGCTGAACACGGCGCGGGCTGAGGGTAGGTGGTCGGCGGCGGAAACGTGGGTGCGAAGGGTGGAGCGAGGGAGCAGCGGGAAGCAACGAGTCGAGCGCAAAACAACGAAATCGAATCACTCTCGGTGGCCGGCGGTACTTTTCATGCGTGAATTTTCCGACTGTTCGACGCGCGTATTGCAGCTGCGGGAATCGCCGGTAATAGCTTTAGCAAAATCGAGAGTAATGCCCGAAAACATTTACAATACGCGTCGCTTGCCGCGAATAAAAAACGCGCGATCGTTTAACGTCGATAATACGCGACGCGTACGATCAGTTAAAAGCGAGCCGTGTACAAAAGGGAAACAAACGAAAATTTAATCAACAGACAAACCGATCGCGAAAGATCGTGACAATATGATTACAACGGGTGGAGGGAATGATTTTCCAAGCTACTATGGCTGGTTTCTAACAAGCGATCAAATAAATTTCGTTCCGTCTTGTTCTCGTTTCTGAATTGCCAACGCTTCGACGAACTCGATCGCGTTTTGTTTTAACGAGCCCGGTACATGTATATGTATATCCGTGGCTCGCGCGCATCGATGCGAAACTGGTGATTCGAGACGACAATTATCGTACAGGTATATAACCAGGAAAACGTAACAGGTCGACCGCGGCCTGATGGATGACGATGATGACGGTAATTGTCGGGAATTACTCGACGTTAATTACATCCGAGCGAAATCGAGCGCGTTTACACCGCCATTCGCAGACACTTACCAGACTGGCCGCGTTAATACACGCCCGATAAATTCGATTGGAAAACGTCCACGCGTTTCCCGTTCGATATTTTACCCACTCTATTTTACCCTCCTCCTAACTGTTACTGTCCCTCTGACACCCTCTCTTCTTCTACCCTTTCGTTCGCGTTGCCAATTTTTCCATCCCATTCTCGTTGTTTTTTCCCCCCTTCCTTTTTCATTTCCAGGGTGAACGACAACGGTAGCTCGTCATAAATGTGAACAATTAATCGAATATAACCGATACGTGGTTCTGGCTTCGCTTTTATAAACGCGATCGGGCACGAAATTGCGGGCCGCAGAAATACGATCGTGTAAACAGCCTCCGACACGTCCGGCATCGAAATTTTACAATGGACACCGTGAATTCTCATAACTCGTCGCGTTGCGCAACGCTTGGCCAACTCGAACAGTCTGTGAAAAACAGCGCCGACGATTATACGCCGTCCGATCTTTCGGGCTGGTTCGATGGAAATTCGATGGAAGATCAATGCGAGATAATAATTCATTCTATTTATCGGAACAAGCGTATCGAGGGAACGGGACCAGTCGGACGAAAATTCCTCCCGGCCTTGTTCCACTTCGTCTCGCCGAAATAAAGTGTACGCGAACCCGTGTAAATCTTCACCGGATTTATCGAACGTGTAACGCGCACCATCTGACAGGAAGAAAAAAGGTAACCCTGCCTTCCTGTCTTTCCCTGGGGACCGTATCCCCGTGTATCTCGGCGCAAAACCTTCGACTCCTTTCCATTTTCGATCACCTTCACGATCGACTAATTTATAAAATGATTTTTAAATTAAAGAACATGTAATCTACATAGAGGACTAGACGTCCAAAGCGTCGTCAGTTTAAAATTCATGTTAACAATGGATGAACCCTCTCGTCGAGAGGGTTTCGAAGGTCGATTTACGATTTGAAGGGTGCATCCGGCCGGAAGAAGGCGAGTCGAAGAAAGGGAGAGAATAACGGGACCGGCTGCTAAATATTCAATAAACGCGAGCATTATTCCTGGCACGTCGACGCGCAAGCTGGCTTACGTAGCCGTGTTCAGGAGAAGACCGAGGTAAGAAGGGAAAAATCGAAGATGGAGAAAGGCTACTTATCCGCTTCCGTGAATTCACGATCGAGATTCCTTGATCTGGATGTACCAGATACGAGGCGTTTCACCGTGTCAGGAGTTTCGATGTTTGATCCGCGTCGTATTCCAGGAAGCTGTCTACGCGGATCGAGGAAAGAAATTTCCCGCCGAAATGTCAACGACGACGACGAAACGTATGAAACGCGCGCGTCGAACCGGGTTCCTTCTCTCTTCGCTTCGTTCACTCGATAAATTTTCATGATCCGGACTGGTAAATGAATCGACGGTAAAAACGAACGAAGACGTGTACGGTAATTGACGACATTAACGTACTGGAATGCCGTATGAGCGAGCGGGAAATGAAATACGAGGTTTCTCTGCTCGAGAGAGCGTTCCGCTTTTGGTACTCTTCGCCGCCAACAAATTATACCGTCGGACTATGCCGTTTTTTTCCCTCTCGAGAGAATCGTACAGGGAAAAGAGAAGAGAAGAGGTGCCTCGAAGGAGAGAAAAATCGGTATATTTACAATGGCGGTCACGATCGAGGGACGAGAAAACGGGAAATTCAAATCGGCCGATTGCCGCGATGAATATGGATGACGGGCGCAAGAAAAACACGACGGTCACGATCTTTGTGATGCAAATTCCCCGACGGTCCTTGTCTTTATTAATATCGAGAATGTGTTTTCCACGGGAACTCCGTCGGCCGAAACGCGTCCACTTTTCCTCCCGCTTAAATTCTCACGATATCAAACGAACCACTTCCAATTCTATTTCTGCCTGTTTACTAGACAAACAGATCGCTCGGACCATTAAGAAGCGAACAGCATCCGATACCCGTTGCGTAATTTTTCTTTCGATACCGGTGACAAATCCAGTCGAGATATCGCGTTTCGAAATGTGTCGCAATCTCAAGGAAACCTGGCGAAACGCAATTTCCCGTACAAAGAGAACCTCCTCCCTGCGCAAACAATGTAAACGTAACGTCAAACGTTAGCATTCCGTGCAGCTCGAATATTACGTTCGACGGGAAAGAATTTGCGGAAAAGTCGAATAGGCGGATGTGAAAAGAAAATGAAAAATCCGAGTTCGAGTCTCGAATTTAAAACGATATTATTCATACAGGATCGAATAAATGTACAACAGACCGCAAATTCTATAAATGAAGTGTATCGTATTATCTTTACTTTCGATCAAAAAAATACCACCACGCAAAAAAAAAAGGTTGAATCGACAGACAAAAGAATTCCCCAGGTCCGTGTCTAGGGAAATCGACGAAATCCCCTCAATAATTCCTAATAAAAAGGCTGCCACGAGCGGTCTCCACTTTTTCTCAATTCGAAAGGTCGCTGGAAGAAGAGGCTCGGAGACTTCCTCCCTCCGGTGCAATTTGCATGTTATTACCTTGTTTACATATTTATTCAATAGCCGGTTGATCCCCTGGGAATTGTCTCCCTAATCTCAATTCCCCTGGCCGACTCAATTCGCCTCCCTTTAATTTCGGATTAAGGGCCACGCGCGAAACCGTGCGGCCAGGCGATTAGCAAGTCGCCGCACGGGATATTGTTCGCTCGAGTGCGCACGTTCGCGTCATGAATGAAAACATAAATTTCAACGAGACACCTCGGCCTATCACGCGTTAAGTCAACGAAGTAATTACTATACCCGGTGTGCTCGAGCTACCGGTGCACGTGCGTTCAACACGTACAACGCCGCGTATCCGTGCGATCACGAAGAGGACAACTCGTATACACACGATTTCCACCGCTTCCATCGTCGCGGTTCGATGATACTCATTTGAATTTCAAATTAACACGAAGAAGGCTTACCTGTTTATGCATTTCCACGTTCAGCCCGTAGGACATCTCGTAGTACTGGAAGAATGAAAAGAAAAAACGAACGATATATTAGACGTGAGAGATATAAAGTGGCGCGAATGAATATAAAGAAGCGTGCTTGTACAAGCGTTAACGCGAGATTCTTGCGCAATACGCGCGGCGTACATTAAAGCGGTCACATTTTCATACGATCGTGTAATGAACGCGAACAACATGCAACAGAAAATTATTTGAAAGGTTGAAAATCGTGCAAACTACGTAGACAGCAACTTTACGAAACCCGACGCCAGGAGTCTTTTAAGTTCATTTTTATGCAGCTTCTTGCGATTATTTCCTTCGGTAATCACTTTTAATGAATTTATCACGCGTTTACAGAGATGCAAGACAATCGAGATAACGACGAATTTGTGCCAGGAGTTGGACGATAAATAATAATCTGAGAGGGAGTAAATGAACCAAGAGATTCGAATGGGGGACAGGAATGAATGTTTGATTGAATGCACTCGGGTGCAGCTTATTATGCAACTACTGATTCAATTACACTTGATAGCTCAAACCGCTGAGTATCTCGATGATAGTTCTGCTTCGAATAAATTGAACACACCTTGCACGTACACTGTTCATTGTACCGAGTGATTCATATATTCAAACGGTAAATTACGAAACACAGAAAGTATAATTTAATTATATAAAAATATCGCTAAACATACTTATGCTACATCAATTTGAAGCTTAAATAACCATATAAACCTTTGTCGTCAGAACGTGCTAGACTTTCTACCTTTCGAAATCCAGTATTTGATTTGCAAGAACCTAACGTTTTAACTCCTTGTATTATAACTTTCTCGGCAATTATAAGGCAAATAAAGAAAGCTGAAATATTACGCGTACCTCGCATTTAACGATCCTTGACTGCGCAAATACCGTCAGTGTATTACAAATATTTTGAGGATTTATTGCGTTTAATCTGCAAGTTATGTTACAAGTACGACTGCATATTATAAGGTAAGGGGTTAATAAATTAAACTTTCTTTCTACGCTCTCGCTATTGCAGGACTTTCTTTGCTCGAAGTTTAGGTTCTAAGTTGTTACACGAATCAAGATTTAAATTACCATAGATTTGATTCACTCTAATTGTTCGAATACTTTCGTATATTTTCGCGTAATAGCTCCGCAAGCCTTTTCCGATACTCCTAATTTGAGAGCACACGAAATGACGGTTCGATGGGCAAAATATCAAAGAAAAAGATCCCGATGTAGCCGGTTAAGCCGAGCAGAAAGATTCCCAAGGGTTAATCGAATTATCGAGTTACCTAAACCGAGATGCCGCTCGAATTCGTAATAACGTCTAAAAGAACCCTACGAAGAGGGTCTTTAGGGCTGGTACACGGCTGCCGAGAGCCGAGATTACATCGATCGAACGAGATTACGAAAAGCGGGCCAAATTGAGCCGTAATGCGAGATCCCGGCCAAGAAGGAGGATAAACGCACGGAGAAAATGAGAAAAACGAACGAGAAATCGCTCTACCTACCCCCGAACAGTCTGCTCAACTTAAGTATCTCTCTCTGTGTACGTACGTGTGTGTGTGTGTGTGTGTGTACACACGCACGTGTACCTGCGGATTTGTGCGTGTACACGACATCCAAGACCGGTTTCTCGTAACATCGTTTCTACATCGTGTGTACAAGACCCCATCCCAGGTATGCTTTAACTAATTCACCTACCGGTCAGTGGTTCTCAATATTCCATTTACAGGAATTTTAGGGTGGTCAAAGTCTCAATAGTCGATTAGCAACGAATCGTTTCTCCTTTGTGCCTCTAATAACGAATAAATAAAAAGAAATTAATCCGTCTCTTTCATATACGATGAAAGAACTGAATTCTTTCCGAATGAACATCATCGCGTTCTAAATGTCAAGTTAATTCGTCGTCACTGGGATTTCAGACGATTTAGGAATCAGAAAAGAGGGAAAAGTATGAGCAAAAGACGGAAGACAAGAAACTTTTACGGCAGTTATCTGGAACGGTCTCTTCTCGTGTCTCGACGAGGTAATTAGCCTTTAATTAATACACTTCTTCTCTTGAGGGATACTTTGGAAAGAACAGAGGTCAGAATCATGATTATCGCAGAGCTGGAAACATTACTCACGGTTGACGCGTTTAATACGGAAGCGGAATGTCACGAACAAGGGGGACAAGATTCGAATCAAACGAGATGATAAAACCGTGCGACAATAAACGTCGTTCAGCCATTAAACCCTGTGAATCGAAAGCTCCCCCCTATCTCTGTCATTCGTTCTCCAACCCACAATCGTTTGCATCTTCAAATTGAACCAGCTTTACGCCCCTATCGAGTTTTATGCTGCATCATCGTGTTCATATTATCCAGTTAGAGACAGAAATTCAATCTCCGAATTTTTTTCAAATTTTCGCGGCTAAAAGTGTCTAATTAAAAAACACGTTGGGAACCCACGTTATTCAAACCGTTCGATTCGAACGAGAATGAAATCTCGGAGATAAAACAAAAAAAAAAAAATAAAATTGGGAAACGAACCGAGAAAACTATGAACCGAGTCGTATTGGCGACCCTCGGAATCGTAATCCCTTTGGTCCTGGAAACGAGCCGACCAACGCTTTCATTCTCGAATAAACGAGCGATATCGATCGCGATCGGTATCTGCACCGTGACGAGATACGCAAGACTAATGGACCCTACCTCTCTGTGCTGTCTCGTCCCTTTCACGAGCCCTTATCCCCCTTTTTATCTTCCCTCGATGCTACGACCCTTGTTGCGAACACACCCTTACATAAAGGGTCCTCTCTCGTCGGTTGTACGACTTGCAAATTTTGCCCTCGATTTGCTCCTACCACTTCTCTCTTTGATTTAATAAAAAAAAAACACTCCCTTAATCTAAACCAATGCACATTTGTCTGTGTGCTCGAAAAATGGAGAAGGAACTTACACATACGTAACTTGGCAAACCGAAAACCATTTCCCTCGAGTAAAACGTCGATCAAAGGCGGAAAGAATGCTGAACGTTCACTGGATTGCTACTGAAAACGAGTGGAAAACTTGGAAAATCTCGAAGTAGTCGATGCACCGCGGCATTGAAACAGCACCGGACGCGGACGAACGATACGCTTCGAGGCGATCTCTTGCGCGTTGTTCGTGGTCGTAAAAGTTCACGAGCTCGACAATTACGTGAAAGAGTCGTAAAAGCGTAATGCCCCGTGGCCAGGCTATATCGTCGCGTAACGACGTCGTACGAGCATCCTGTTCGCGAACGCGACGCCGGAACACGTCGTTCGACGTACCGCAGCCATAGGAAACAAATCCGTGAACGGAAGTCGACGAGTCGATTCGCGAACGCTAGAAAACACGTTCGGTGAGCCGAGACGATTACTTTTCCACGAAGAAAAATCGCAGGAAACGCGAGGCTACCGTCGTTTACGTACCGCTTGAATATAAAACGTGCCGACCGTGCTTGCTTGCGATGCATAAACGTGAAAGCCTTTAAACCGGCCGCGAGCGGAAAAGCACGGTGATTTCATGACGAAAAAACAAGACGACTTCATATTCACCGGAAAATTAAACGTTTGCCGTAAATATCATTATTTTTTTATTTTTGCAGTGCAACTTGTGACGCGGATCAACGAGTATCGATTCGATTCAGGAGTTAATTAACTTGTTAGACTCCTCATTGCTGAAAATCGAGAATATAAAACGTGAGAAGCTCACTCTGTACATTCACTGGATTTATCGTTCCTTTTAAGAGATCGAGTTTCTGAAGATGAATGAATTCGCGCACGTTTAACTATTTTAAATTCTTCTAAGGGTAATACTCAGGGAATTGCTCAAGGAAATACATGTGAGAGCCGCAATTTAATCAGCTTTTGAATCGTAATTAGTACTTAATAGAATGGATAAATATGAAGTAAAGAATAACGAGGTAAATTCTTCTAGCGTAACGGTGGTCTAACATAGTTCACAAGTTAAAATGACGTTTCGTCTGGTCGAGATAGCGCGATACACGAAGCGATAACGAATAGGCTCGACGTTCCGCCTGAATCATTCCAATTACGTGTGCGTACAAACCGCCGCCGATTCATTAGGGGCCCGTTTACGAGTCACTCGATACACGTCAGACACCGCGTCCGAACGGGCGTGCGTATGTTCGACAAGCGCATGTACCTGTTGCTAACCGTGCAATCGAAGCCAATACAATAAATTCTTGTTGTGTTCGATGATTAATCATGAATGACAAAACGCCGTAATATGATACCGTCCCGACTAATAATAAATGACCGGCGTCCGGATCGATTCGAATCCCGATTCGATGCGGGACGGTGCGAAATGGTGAGCAGATTTTTCTCGCGATTCATCGTTCGGTGACAAACGAAACGAGCTTTTTTTTTTTTAGCACCGAACGACAGAAACGACTTTTCGCCGAGATACGAGAATTTGATGCGCGCCGCATAAATTTCAACGAAAGGAAACGTGCGTGGAATCGAGAGAGAAAATAATGATCGTCTGGAGAAGGATCGATCGACGGAGACGCGTTGCTTCGTCCGACGGATCGGCCGATTAATCTCCTTGCTCCGTGAATCGACGGAAGTGCCACGTCCACGCAAGCAACCGGCGTGCATTTTATATCAAGTCATTTGCATCGAACGCGACCGCAAAGTGTAGCTTATAAATTACCGCGTGTCCGCGATAACCGCGATATCGGCCAAAGACAATAAACTACGGCGACTCGAACCTTACTGTTTGTTCTCCTTTTCCTTTTTCCTTTTTTTTTTTTTTAACTACACCAACAACTTTGCCGTTCTACAGTCTAATTGTTACGTTACACAGAACTACTCGACGCGGCTACCTGTTCGTGTACACGCGAATTAACACGTGTCTGTCTATTGACGTTTAACGTTTCGCCTCTTTAGCGTCTAGATATTTCTGGCTGAATTGCCAGCCTGTAATTTACCTTCTTTCGTGCGCTTCACGGAAATCAATTTACAATTTTAAAATGTGTACAAAAATAGACAGAAATATGAACACGTATAAACGAGCTCATCACGATTTACGTCCTCGAAAACGCGACACGGAAAAGAAAACAGATTCTTCATTCGAGAGCCTTAAATAAAATAAACTGTAACAAAGCAAGACATGAAAGCCTAAAATCTCCCATCGCGATGTTCAGTTCACACGGTGCGTAAATTCAAAGCCGACCTGTGACCCTCCCCGTAGGAATTGCACACGGCATCGGCTCTGTCTACTTGGTCGGGTACCTTGTATCTTTCGCTAATGAAGACGCATACGACGGTGACGTTGCATCGCAATAATGAAGATATACAGGCGAAAGTAAGCCGCGTACATGCACGCGGCTGCGTGTGCACGCGAGACCGACTTAAAAGGAGAAGGTAACAGCTAACACGAAGAAACCGCGCGAGAAGAACCCGCTCAGCGGGTCGACTGAATAGCTGATGGGTTCTAAGGTCGACGTCTAGCATGGTTCTTTCATTAAAACACTGTCGCTTTGATTGGCTAGTTCTTACTCGACTTAACGCGGAAGAATTTATGGCCTGTTTTTGGTATGTCTTAGGTAATAATTATGAAGGGAACGTTTTCTCCTGGCACAAATTCGAATAAATCTCAGAAACAGCGTAGTAAATTTGATAAAATTTGCAATTTTTCTTTCGATACGTAAGATTTTCACTCACCATAACGTAGTGGCGTTGCATCTCCGTCTTCTCCTGGGCGAGTTTCTCCAGCTCCAATTTAATACTGTACAGAACAAGCAGGAAAACGCACATTTAAGCAAAATATTAGTAAATGCAGGCGGCATACAAAAGCTGTAGGGCTTATGGGACGGGATATACGATACAATATAATTCAACGATTCTAACGTTCTCTTTTTTATATTTCCCTTTCTCCGAAAAGGATAAATTGAAATTATTTATTACAGAGATTCTTCTGATAAACTCAATTTTATCTCAGTCCCAGAGAGGGTTAAAAACCTAATTACCGCGGTCGCGACGAACATCGATAATGGTTATTGAATCGATTTGCAGACGTTTCCCCATTGTTTCTGTTCATAGGATCGCCGTATATCGGAAACTATCGGTAAGCGGTGCAATTGCGTGGATGCCCCGTGAAATCGCGAAGAAGGGAATTTGTTTCGCTCGATCGAGTCCCATCTGGAACGAGGGAAATCGAGTGTGTCGCGTGTTTGCCAAGAGTTCCCCGGGAACACACGATCGAACTTAATATCTGTTACATATTTTTCTGTGACGTCGTATAAGTCGATATAAACGTTTAACGTGAATTTCGATCAAGATCGGAACAGGCTCGAACGAGCCGGTGCAACGTTACTTTCTCGTCTATGGGAACGATCGATCTTTATCGATGCGTCACGTAACAAGCCACCGTTCGACCGAAATAATAGGGCGCGTTAAATGGAAAATTAATTTCCATTGAACCGGCACGCCGGCAATACGCCGCGAAACGACGCGACCGACCGCACATAAAGTCCCCTCTACGGTGCGAGTAATTTTTTAACGACAACGGGACCGCGTCATATTTTTGTTTACCGCCGGCCTCCAGTGTTCCTACAAAATTGCATCCACCCCCCCTTGTTTCTCTCTCCCTTCCGTTCGTATAATAAATAGGGTAGGTGTTGGTAATAGTTGAGTGCATCGAGCAACACCGTTCCTGCAAAATGTTTCACCTGTGTGCATTTATGCCGTACGCGTTTCCAGCCGTGTTCCGAGTACATTTTACGAACGAACAGCAACAGCTCGGACATCGAGATAATTCTTCTCGGTTTCGCCCGCGTTATAACACCGATTACGCGAGCATTATGTTTTACGGTACTTTTCTTCGTCCACCGGTTTCAGCTAGCTCGCATTCCGATCCTATTATCGCGACACGCTTCATTATCGCCGCAAAACGAAAGCCCTGTATCGTTATTTAACGAGCCGTATATTATGACTCGTTGAAAGCGAGGAAAATAGGAGATTCGAACCGTTTCGATCGATATATTACTTCGTTTCGTAAACGATACAACATTGAAACGACAGAGATTAAATTAGAATGATGTTCATCTTCGGTTAAGGGGTTGTAAAATGTTTCATTAATACCACACGAACGCACGTAACAAATTAATTACACAATACGGAATTCTTTTAACGAATCCGTGGCGAGCAAAAGAGGTGAAAGCACGATGCAAGAAAAGCGGTTTGTAATCTAGGTTTTTCTCCCCCAGATTCTTTTCCCTCGCGGCTTACCATCACGTAATGCCTCTGTATCTCTATTTTTTCACTGGCCAGTTTCTCGCACTCCAATTTAAGGCTGCAGAAGGGGAACAAGAGCACAACATTAATATCCAGCAACCCTGGAGAACACGGAAAACCTTTGTCTGTCTCTCCGCTCGTCGTCGTATCCGCGACATTAAATTAAAACGCGCGCATCACGACAATAGGTACTAACGAGAAAAATCATAACGTCCGTAGGAAACAAAGGGGAATATAATGGAGAAAAGAAGGCCGGCTAATTCGCGACAACGAACGGAGTAAAAACAGTCGTTGGTCTTTTCCACGGCGGTGTTGAACGAAGAATAATAATGCAATAAGCACGCTCGTGAAACGCGTCATGGTAAATGAACAGCCAACGCGTACGTTGAAAGACATATCTATCGTACCTTTGCCATCTCTACGCTCGATCAACTGATCGTCAAATTATCGATTCGTAATCGAATAGAAAGTCCACGAAAATGTTTCAGAACCAAGATGATCGTGACTGAATTGGCCAGGTGAAATTCTACGGCCTCGCGAGGCCTGTTCACGGAAATTCATTGGCAAAATTATTGTTCACCGATCGATTCTGAAATCACGGAAGCGAAAGTGCATCGGGTAACGTAGTTCAATCGTTAACGTTCCAACCGGGGAACCGTAAAATTGCAATCCACCTTCCTAAGAGTACGTTTTCACGTGACGGTAAATCGCGATATTTAATGACACGGCTTTTGTTGTCGTGAAAACTAGAAGTCGTAACGTTACGTTTAGGGGGGTAAATCGCACACTGTCACGACAGTGAAACTCATGGCTCTTAGCGTCACATGAAAACGTACCCTGACGTAGCTCTTCACCGATGAACAACGTAGAACGGTATCGCGTGTACGGAACGGTCTCTACCGTAAAGCAGCCACTCTCTTCGATCGTTTAACGATCTGTGAACGCGATATCGGTAACGAGACACTCCTTTTTACGCGTTGGCTCCTTTAAAGGGGAGAAGTGAATTATTCAGTCAATCGTTAGCGGATTTCAGTTGCCGTGTAAGGAGGGGTCACGATAAAGAGAACGTGGAGATTCGAGCTGAGAAACTCCGAGAGCTTGCCAGATCGCGGTTGCTTCGTCAACGATAAATTAGTACGATATTAACGATCGGTCGAACGATAATTCCGGTTGCGCGACCGGCAACTCGGAGCCCATTAATTATTTTCAGATTGACGGGGTGCAACGATTTACAAGATGCCTTATCGAGGCCGTTTCACGGTGAACGGTTCAACGTGACATTAAATACGCGGAAAACCAGCACCTGTTCCACACGCGTTGCGTAGCCGCGAAAATTCTTCGCGGTTCGAAGCTCTGTCAATTTGTAAACAGCAAATTTATCGCTCCCTCCTGCCATCGTGCTCGATCTTTCCCTCGGGAATCGAGCTAGCGAAAGCATTTATTCACGAGCGTGCCACCGGTTTGATAATATAACTAACTCGCCTGAACCCGCCTTTCCACATCATCGATCGTATAATGCAGACATAAAATGAATTTATTCCACGCGATCGCGCCTGTTCCGCGTAATAGTTTCTTGAAACAGTGTTTTTACTCGCGCCTTAATCGAAGCCGATGAAAAGAATGCGCTGTTAAAAACATCGCTGTATCACTCGATTCGAAAGCTTCTTGTTATATTGATCTCTTTGCTGATTGGAAATTCAATTTAGAGTGGTTCATTATCTAATCGGATCGAGTTGTCGAGCCTTGAAGCGTTTTTTTCCCTCCTTTCTACGCGATATTGTTAACACTATGTTTCTAGTTGTACTTGTCTCGACTTGGAACCTCTACTTGTAATAACGTGTTTTTTTATGCGTTTCATTTGAAATAATTATAAGATAAAAGCAGTAAGATTACACCCTATTCATTGAGTTTCAATCGCTTGAAATTGAAGCGATTCGATTTGAAATTACAAAATATACCACGAAAAGATCTGAAATGTTGTATCCGAGTGTGTACTAAGGTTTAACTTTGTCGATTCGCTAGAGAACGTCGAGGTGCGCGGTCAAGGAAAAATGGAGCACTCTATGGAAGAGTTGATGTGCACCGAGTGGGAAATTGGCTACTTTCCGTATGTCCTGCACGGAAAACGCGAGCGAATGCGTGGAAATGTCGTAATCCGTTCACGTACGTCTACGCTTATATTTATGCATGTATGCACACAACCCCGGGGACTTTACTCTCGGTCTGTATCTCTACCCTCCGGGTCCGTGTCGCTTGTGACACGAAACAGCAATTTAAGTTTCCGTCGTCGCTGGAAATCGTGCGGCACGTGACGTCGCGAATTAACACGTTTAAAGGTACGGGGCATAAATTAACGTGTCAAGCCGGTGATAAAGATCGTCGAGCGATGTGTACAGGTGAAAACCGACGGTACCGCCCGAAGAAAGTTCCCTTTTATCGGCTTAACTTAACTTTTCGCTGCTGCTTGCGTGCGAGATCGTATCGTACACGATTACCTTCTATATTCTCATGCTTGTTACGTTTTTACGATGTTATTTATTTCGAATGGACGGCTGGTCACACGGGACCGCGATCAAACTAAACTTGAACGGGAACCAGGTAACCGCCGAGTGGTCGAGGCTCGTTGAAATTATCGATTCTTCGCTGTGTAACTTTCTTATAACGAGAAGGAAAGTTTTCCTTTCTCGAGAAACCATTTCCTCCATTGTATTTGATTATTCCATCGAGAATTCTCTGTTTCCTTTGTTGTACTTTAGAGAGATCGAAGGGAAGGAAGAAAAATATTCTAACGAAATGACAAATGATACGATACGATAAGAATAGAATGTTTCCAAGTGGTAAAAGGAGTTGAATGGCTCGTAAACGTGTAACACGCGTGCACAGAATCGAAACCGAGAGGGCCCCCTCATCCTTCAGGCTATGTGCATACTTCGGTGTGCATAGCTTCCGCTCGGACAAACAATTCTCTGCCTACATCTGTCCGTTTGTCTGTCCCGCTTCGCCTACGCGCCGACACGACGTTTGCGCAAACACTTCCTAGATAAGATCCGACGTACTCCCAAACAGAGAGTCGATTCTAGTCAATGAATTACTGTTGCGAGAGATAAATAATTCCTTCGTAACAATTCGTTATAACAATTATAAGCAACTGACTCTGACTCGTATCTAATTTAAGTAATCAATTCATATTTTATCTCGTTTTATAATTAACCTTCTATGAATTCATCTGTTAACATTGCAAAATCATTCAAGTCGTCGGTATGAAATAAATTTCGTTCAACAAGCAATTGTTACGAAGGAAAATAATATTTGTTTGATCGTCGATAAGTACAATATCGATTTCCCAACACCGGTACAGTTGTTCAAATAATTACGAGCAGTATCATGTATCTTTTAGTGATTGAAAACCATTTTGAAAGTTGAATCTGTTTCAAGATAAGGACCGAGAACAAACAGTATCTTGTTCTGTTCGCAAACAGGTCGCGTGTACATTTTAAATAAGACAACGACATTTTTACCACCTCGACACGAATCGACCTCGAGAATATTCAATTTCTTTTTCTTTCTTTTTTTTTTTTTTTCATCAAAAACAAGAATTCATTTCAAGAGGCGAGGGGTTTCGGGGAGGGCATAATTTATTGATATTAAACATAGAGGTCTACCTGTGATACTGTGTCTGAAGAAAGTTGAAGTCCTCCTTGATACGATCGCACAACTCGCCGATCGAGAATTTATATTGCTGGCCAGGCTGCGGTGGACCCTGAAACACGAAATAAAACGATACGGTCAGTTCATCCGGCGATCAAACGGTTTTTTGTTCGTCGAAACATGCTACGGGACGTTGGATTTTACAGAAACCTTTTTCAAGAATGAACAACCGAATTTTCACACGCGATATCCTCTGTCTTTCGACGTCAGAGTGATAAATATCCTGTTGTTTATTTTGTTCGCTATTTTTAGTATAAATTTCAGAACATTCTTGAAAATAATTTCCCAAATCATCGACACAATTTATCGACGAGCAACGCTGCTGTATCTTCTCGTGTCACCAAAGTGCATCGTCAGAGCTTCTAAGAGAAGCCCTCGAAGCATCGACGTTAAGCGACTGAAAGGTTACCTCCGAATGACTCTGCCTGATCTTGTTTGTATCCATGCTACTTCGAGGTAGAACCATGGAAATATTTTGTTTTAGTATTACCAGACTTCCCTCCGGACAAAATGAAATCCGAAATGATCTCCCGAGCGAATCAACAACCAACTTACTGGTTCGTGAAAAACGCGCGATAACTTTCATCGAATTTCCAATATACGGGATCGTTTGGAGAATAAATCGAACGTGTTCGAAGCGTAATCGGACGTCGTGATTGCGTACGGAACGAATGGTAATCCTTCGATGTGCCGGATGTACTTGTCACGGCCCACGTAAGCAGCCACCTCGAGGCGTGCACACGAACGCAAGCGGCATAAGCGGCGGAAATCGTGCCGCTGCTTTGGCTTCCGTTCGCTGATTACGTATCCAGTTTAAATCTCTGCTTCTCTCTCTCTCTGCTCCCTTCTCTTTCCCCTTCGCTCTTGCAACAGCAAGAGCTCAGCCCGTAAAAGCGCGGCTCAAAGAAAAAAAAAAAAGGATCCAGGAAACACTTTAGATGGAAATCGAGTCTGGTACCGCGAGAAACATTGTTTCCTAGCGTTCCGCTGCGTTACGGATATTGCCTCGCACAGTGTAAAGATGTAACCAACCACCGACTACCGTTTCGAAGGATAATCGATTCCATTACTGCGCGTATAATCGACGAGTAATTAACGTTAATTATATCGACGTCAAAGCGTTAACTGGCTTGTACTATTAATTATCGCGGTGTTTCTAAACCAACTGGGAAGGGACTGAAACCTGAGATCTTTACCTACTTGTTTTTTTTTTTTTTTAATTTTTGTCCTACCATGAACTGGTTGCATTTTCGACAACGAAAGAGACACGGATGTCCTTCGGTTGTGTCAGTAACAGCGGGTGGATTTTATCCCGTAGTCAGTGATATATCGGCTATCTTACGAAATCGTTCTACCGATCAATAAAGAGACCTGACACGTATCCCTGGCGTCGTTCGGTTGTCGCTTTTATTTCCCGGCGAAACAACGGGCACGAGGGTGTTGGGGAAAGACGGAAATAGCGGAGTAAATTCGGTTGCTGCTCCGGCATTTGAGAGGCCGATGGAAACCCACGCTTACCGACTTTGGCGGCAGCTGTACCAGCACCCACGACCGTAAAAGCCACATTATTACCGGTAGTACCGCTGCTACCCACCTCCGTATACCTGTCGGTAATAACGTTACGAGCGTGTTATCGATCGTTTTGCACGTCGTACCCCGCAAAACGGATACGCCACGACGGTCTCGTAAAAGCTGAAATAGTTCTCTTCTCCTTTTCGTCCCACCGATTCACCCAGGATCGCTCTCTTTCACCGTTCTTCGTCGCACGACCGCCCGAACGAGAACCATTTACACGCGTTATTCCGCCCGAGCTTAAAGGCCGCGTATCTCGCGTTGCTTTTAATAAAAACCCTACCAAGGTGAAAGTTGTTCGAAAGATATACTACGCGTGTTCGATAAACTCGATGGAAAATTAAGGTTTCCATCGTAGATTTATACGAATGCTGTGCCCTCGTAATTGTAACAACGACTCTATTGCGCGTGAGACTCAAAGTAAGCAGAGAATTAAACGTGACGTAAGATCAGAGTTAATAATGTCAATGACGAGGGCAAATATGATTCGCGTAGGAACCGTATGTGTGTACAGAAAGTAATGAGGAACGTTACGTAGGAATTTGGTAAAAGGCGACGTTCTAGCGCTTACGAAACGGAACCTAGTCTACAACTTAACTAGAATCGATAACGCGCTTATCAGGTTAGCGCGAGATATTTGCTAGATAATGCGCTAGTCGTCGCGAAGCCGTCAAAGGCGACACCGCATATCTCATTTGTCGCTTGTCGCGGGAGAAGCGTAATAAACGTAACTGTTCACCTCAAAGCGTGTTACGTAGAAAAACGGCTCTAGTCTGTCAAAGTGCGCGTGTTTTTAAACGACATCGGACACGTGTAAACGAGCATCGACACAGACTGCATCCGGTTAACGGGCGGCCTTAAAGGCTGACCGCTCGGGGGCTCAGCAAGAATCGACGGAGGCACGCGTTGCTGATCGGCAGAATCGTTGATCCCATTTGTTCGCGCAAAGCCAGTCGCGGTCAATCCAATTAATTTATTGGCTTTCGCCGCGGAGCATCCGTACTATCTCGCCGGACAACGCTATATACTTAACGGGCACGAGCTTCTATCAGCGAGAATCGCGGTAATACCCGCGGCGCCAAGCTCGATCGCGAGAGATCGACTTGCGATTACGTACGTACGGGAAACGATCTCTGTCATTAGACTCGTAAACGTTACGATTGAATCGTTGCGAAATCGACTCGATTTCAAAACTTGTTGCACGGATTTTCTGGGAAAGGATTTTACTTCGACAAGCTGAGTTCGCCGCGATATTTATTTAGTCAGAGGGATAAATTAATTCTGATAAATTGCAAAATAATTTTACGATTCTCGATAGCATTCATTCGAACAAGGATTTCTTGTTTTCTAATTCGATGGAAACGTTTAATTTAGATTTCATGTTTGACAATGCAAATCATTCTATTGCATCTGGGAAATAAAAATATGTACCTATATTCTCAAAGCTTATAATAACGCAATAAACATTTTTCTGTTTGTTTTACTGCTCGTTCGCTTTCAGTTCCGTTAATATCCCTTTCCATGAAATACGTTCCATGCATTTGATCTGTAAGTCGCGTTTCCCTCGTTGTTGGAATTCCGCGTTCTTTATTATTTCACCGCCATACGGTACACACATAAACACACCATTCCCACGTTATAATTGTTATTTTATGCACGCAACCACAGCATCGAGATTGTAACCATCCACATATATTCGTTGTCTTAAAATACCACTGTATATTTTCTACGGAAACATTTTCTGTAAAAGCCTGGAATCTGATTGTTCCGGGGGTCGAGTGAAAATTTCCACAATATTCATCGATGATCAACGTTGATATACAACGAACATAAACATTCGTTTCGAATGAAAATGAAATAAAACGTGTTACCTTCGTTTCTGTTCACACCGCCCATGTACCATCTCGAAAAACAAACGTTCATCGTTGTTCGCGTTTTGAAAAGCGACTGAAAATCAAGTCTGAAAACAGACAGGCCGATCCGAGGTAACGAAAAATTAAATTCAAATTTTCCTGACGGCGGTCGATATCGTTCTCGTGCTGATCGACACGCGAATCAAATAAAGGCGTAATAAATACGTGTTGTCCCTATGAAATCAAGCTAAAACACCGCGTAAAAATATTCCCGGTGCACTGTTTGCCAGCCACGGTGGCCGTATCAATAATAAAGCGATCGAGCACGTTCTCGCGTACTCATTCGACTGATTTTTCGGACGAAAAATCGCTTGTATACGCCGAGAGGGAAAATCCATTTTTCGTTGCGGTTTAAAATATTCATCGCGTTACATCGAATAAAACGGGAACAAGGAGGGAGGCGACAGGGGTTGGTTTCGACGCGAGGGGGGTACAGAAAGGTAGCGGGGAATGTGATTAACTTCCGTTGAAAAGCGAAACGCGAATTATGTCGTTTCGACGAATAATGATGAGAGAGCACAGCCGGCAGCCGTCAATCAGTGTCCTTTACGTCCTGCGGCCGATTTAATTATCCGATATCTCGACTCACCCCTCGCAAAATTCAACCCCTTTTCACGTCACAAAGAGCCTGTCCTTCTCTTTTACCTCTCTCTATCCACCTTCGTTTTTATTTTTTCGTCGATCGAGAGCAATCGCAATAACGCGATCAGTATTCGACCAACGCGCGGCCCGAAAACTGCCGTGAAATCGGCGACTAACGGGTGCGACCACCGAAAAAGAATTAATATCGTGACGCGGTCGATTGAAACAGCGGTGGCTGGACGCAGGGCAACTTTCGAGAAATTGTTTTTCCAATATTGCGAGATTTTCGTTGACTTTCGTTAAATCGTGCCACCAACACCGACACAGCCAAAGCGTCGCGCGATCGTTGTTCGCAAAAAAGAAATTAAAAAGAAAAAATTCCGCCGAAGAAACGCGCGCTCGACGACGGCGAAGAATTAATATCGGGACACGAGGTACGGTTGAAATATCACTGAGATTCGACAAAGAAAAACTCGCTCGTATTTTTCGTTTCGTCGATTTCATTATCCCCGTGACGCTTTACCGGTGCCGTCGTAAAAAGAAGCATCGAAAAGAAGAACGAAACGTAGCACGAGTCGATACAACGCGATTTCTTTCGCGTTCATCGAACAAGACCTATCGAACCGTACAAAACGTCTCGTTTATTCTTACCCGTCCCGAGATGCTTCCGTTTATTCTCGAAAAAAGGAGCAACCCTGTCTGAGAATTTCCCGGCAAGAGCGACGTCGTCGAAACGCATCCAACGGAACGAATGCGAAGAAAAGAGAAGAGAAGAAAGGAGTCGTGTCGTTTCATCGTTCTAGGGTAATATTTGTTAACAACTTTAATAACTCGACGCTGCACAAAGTGCATTATCTATGCATCAGAGAGAAGGCCGACGAGCGTGTCGTGGTTCGCATTACGTCGGATAGTGGCAACAGAACCAATCAGTTGCGTTTGCAGCCACTCAAGTACGCTTAAGTGGCGAATATCAGCGCGCCTAATT